TCCTGAAGCCTAATTCCCAAGCTTTTCTTAGGTCGTGATAGGCTCTTCCCATTCTGTTATTTATTCAGGTTCCAACGGTGTACAGAAACCAAGTCTAACTATAAAACCGATGATTCGTTGACCTTTATGGTTTCTGAGGGCTCCCCCAACTAAAGATTTCTTGCTATTAATGATACAACACCATCCATATTAATCTTGATGTAGTCGATAGGGGGAGGTTGCCATTGTTGATGGTACATAGGCAACAAAGGCTGGGAAAAGGAGCAAAAAATGTGATGCGAACGACTTATCTCCCTAACCAACGCCGAGGTAGTGGAGAAAAGAGTCCTTTATGACACCACCACTCCATCAAAGGTTTCTTTATTCCTAGTCCGCCCCAATTTCCAGCAGGTGGCTGCAAACCAGATTGGCCATTCAATATAATCCTGCACAAGATGAGATGTAAGGTTAGAAATAAACCACTTTTTCCAATCAAAAACATTCCAGAAATCATTTGGCAGACTCATGCTAATGCTCCTCTAAAGCTCCTTGCATATAAAATAGTCTCTAAATTGATGAAAGAGGTGCTCTTCTTTGCCACACAATTGATAGCTCCCTTTGTCGGTAATATGCCTCTTTCTTTCCGAGTAAGTCATTAGTACACCCCTAATGAAAATCCATAAGAACACTTTGATTCTCTTGGGTACCTTCCATTTCCAGATCAAGCTCCAATTTCTTTCGATATTATCCCAGTTCTTCTCCATTAACAGCTCATATGTTATTGCCGTGTGAACCTACCAGAATTTGCCAACCGCCAAAAACTTTGATCACATTCAAAATTTTGACGAGGGCAGGAACAACCTTGATTTTGTCAAGGAATTCAAGCAATGGTGACAGTAGCCCCTAGTCTGAACATCCGTTACCGTCGGTGGTTTCAGTAACCTTCAGTTCCAAAGAATCCAGTAGAATTGGGGAGGCGGTTACTTGACAGAGAGGAACCGCAAAGTCATCAACCCATAAGTCATGCCAAAAGTTTATTTTTCACCATTTCGACCATCCATTTGAGGCATTGACAGCCTATATCATACACCAGCAATTTGTCTCTAATATGGAGAGGTTTTTGATGATGATATATCTCTGGGGATGCCAATAGATGGGAAATTATATTTAGCCTTTAAAATCATCTTCTAGAGTTGATCACTTTCAGTAGCCAAACCCTATGCGAACTTCATAATGAAAGCTGCATCAAATTCTCTCATTTTTCTCAAACCTAGCCCATCTCTCGCTTTCGGCTGACAGACCGTATCTCACTTCACCAGGCTTATCTTCCTTCACCGAGGACTTGGTGCCCCACAAAAAACCCCGCCTGACCTTGTCGAATTCATATGCAATGCCTTTAGGAAGCAATGACAATTGCATAAGATATATTGGTATAAAAGACAGCACCTACTGACATAAAGTGAGTCGCCCAACCATCGAAATTTTTTGCGGGTTCCACCGGGAAGCTCATTGTTGTATTTTCCTCACCCATTCACTGTACAAATCTTGCTTCACTCTACCATGGATTATTGGAGTACCTAAGTACTTTTCAAGGTTATTTACTCTTTGAGTACCCAAGAAGTCACTGCATGCCTCAGCTACACTTGCATAAACATTTGGGGAAAAGTATTCTACTTATTTGTCTTGGCTAATCATCCAGCCCGATGCTTGACAAAAGAGATGCAAGGTTTCCTTGAGCATCGCCACTTGTTCCAAATCATCCCTCGCAAAGAGTATTAATCATCGATGAACAGTAAATACAAAAGTAGGACTTGCAATTTTCTAAAAAATAAAGGCTTCCATTCACCAGATTCAGCTCTTAAATTAATTACCTGAGAGAGTCTCTCCGTATAGAGTATGAACAAATACGGAGAAACTGGATCTCCATGGGTAAAACCCCTATTCGGCTTGAACTCCTCACCAACGATCCCATCCCTCAAGATACGGGTCGAACCTGTTTGAAATGAGCACATAATTATATCCCTCATTCTTGGTGGCACACCTGCATCTTCTAGGGTATCCTTGATAAACACCCAGCTTATCCTATCATAGGCCTTAACCAGTTTGATTTTAAGCGCTAGCCACCCTATATCATTCTTGGAGCATCTCATCGAATGGATAGCCTCTTGCCCAACTACAAAATTTTCCACAATGTTTCTATCCAGAACAAAGCTGGCTTGTGTTGGTTTAACCAGAGTTGACATCACCCCTCTAAGTCTTCACTACCACTTTCGAGATAATTTTAGCCGATACATTAATCAGGCTAGTTCTAAGGTTCTGAAGTGTCTCTTTGGATTTTTAACTTTGGGAATTAAAGCCACCAGAGCTTTATTTATCTCTTCATTGACCTTCCCATTCGACATTGCATCCTGCACGATCTTACAGACTAAATCACCCACAACATGCCAATTCTGTTAATAAAACTGTCATTAAAGCCATCGATTTCTCCCATCTTGAATTTATTCATCTCAAAGACTGTCGTTTTGACCTTGCTATCCAGAAAATCCCTTAACAAACAAAGCTTCACACGTTCTGATAAAGCCAAAAAAGGTAGCCTCTAATATGATACGTATCAGACCCAGTGGAAGTCCCTGTGTACACTTCCTTGAAAAAACTGGTGGCTACCAAGCTCAGAATGCAAGGATGAGATGCCCAACTCCCGTTTTCCAACTGAAGAGTCTTAATCCTCCCTCTATTGTTTCCTTGCTTATGGACGCCATGGAAAAAGTGTGTGTTTCAATCCCCTTGGACCATCTAAATGGCTTTAGAATCCTACACATGCAGTAATTCTTCATGAGCGATGATCTGTTTGTATTCTTGATGAAGCATCTGCTCTAAATTCCTGAAAGAGTTAAAGTGCATCGTCAGTAAGACTTTTTAGATTTCGTTCAGCCGAGCTAGGATTCTATTCTTTCACTTATTTATGTCTTTGAATACGTTAATTTCCTATCCTCAAGGCGGGTGGTGAGAGTGTTTAGAGTTTTAGGGAACTTAACACTTGATTTTTTTTAATATAATTAGGGCTTATATTGAATTTGGGTGAACCGGGCACCGAACTGAGATCCGATTGCTTATTTGGCTCAGTTTGCTTTGGTAGAACTAATATCGCGGTTCGGTTTTAGGCTGTTCCTGTGAGAAAAAAAATCGGATTAGTCCGAACCGAATATCGCCTAAACCGCCCGAACCGACAGCCCTAATGGCACATAGGACATTTTGCCTTTCTTCCTCATTAGATATAACACTTGGTCTCAGTTTTGACATGTAAATACCCCTGTTTTGCCCAAGGTTTTGAGACTGCAAATCACTATGGACCTGAAACGAGACTGCCACAATGCGTAGGGTTGCTCTAGGTTATCTCCTAGATTTACAATACTCCCAGGCCTCTAGTAATTAGAAACAATCACTTAAAATACAACATAGAACTAGGTTTTGGACCCATGCATTTGCATTGGTATAAAATTAGGTAAAAGGCTTTTTTTTTTCCTTCTTATACATAACTTATGTCAATGAAAGATAAAAAAACGAACACCCCATGTCGTTTTGTCACATTCATACAAATGGAACTCAGAAAGTGATATAGTACATTATGAAGCCCCTCCCCTCCCCCAAGGCCTCAAATATATTTACAATAATTTACTCATGTATACTTGTGGCGTGAGTTAAATCCTTAAAGGTTGGCGTAATTAAAAAAAATTTTTTTTTTTTTTTGGGAATTATAGATGTTAACTACTGATAATGATGATGGAGAATAATTTTTAAAATTTTTATTTTTATGAAAGAGGAACAATTTTAAGGAAAACATGACTTGTGGAATTTTGGGACAAAAATAATTTTTGTAATAATGGGGTTTATTATTATTATATTATATTATTTATAGATAGACAGATAGATTATAGATTTATATGAGTAAATTGAAATTTATTCCTTTATCACCCCCTCGACATGGCGTTTAATAGAGCGAGCCTACTCATATAAATCAACGCAAGATTAACATTTCTTACTTATAATGAGCATGAGGAACTTTTGTTTTTCTTTGAGTTAACGATGACACCATTTTTGTTCGGATCAAATTGATTTTCCATTTATGTTGGTGGAAAATTTTTTGTCAAAAGTGATCCTTTGGTTTTATTTGAATAGGTGGGTCAAACTATTTTCCCCACTATGGAAATGTTTCAATAGTGCATCAATTAAAATTTAATCCTTTTTAGAATAACAGCAGCTAGGCTAACCCACTAAAATTTCAGTTTTTGTTTTGAATATTCGAATAAAAATAATACAACTCTAATAAGAAAGAGTTGATGTGATAGTACTAAGCAGCAAAAACCACTTATTATACTAGGAAACTAAAAATTAAAAGATCAGGTAAGCTTATCTAATATATGCAGATTTTTGAAAAACTATTATATAGTACAATGCTCCAAACAAAAATTCTTGTCAGTTATTTATTTGAGAGGTGATATATTTAATTTATATTACTTTTCTACTAGAGATTATAAAATAATAATCTTATAATACTTCAAACTTTAAGAAAATAAATTAAGGTTTACAAACTAAAAGAAAGATTTACTAATATGATTTATCAAAATCATACTTTTGTATATGATTTTGGGGTGCAGAGACCTCAATTCGTATATTGCTATTTGTAGGCAATTCCTGACAAAAATGCCAAAATTAAATTCTATGAACTGAATGTGATAATGTCTTACCGGCATGCCTTTTCAATTTGCTATTCTTTTCCTATCGGTCATGTCATTTCATTCTTTTTATCCATCATTTCACACATCACTAGAAACTCTCTTTGGAAAATATATATATATATATATATATATACATATATATATATATCATGTAAATGTAAATCTATCTCCATGTAAGAAACTTCTTGTAGTAACGTTACATTGGACACACAAATTTAAAAAATAATAATACATTCTGTAAATAATACATTCTGTAAATAATACATGCTTTGATGTTACATGTGACGCATTAAAAAAAAGAAATCAAACTTGATAATACATTCTGTAAATAATAAAATAAATAATAAATAAAAAGGAATAAATATAATTGAATAAAGAAAAAAAGAAGCTCCCTCTCCAGCCAACGTCCTTCATTTGCTTCGTCAGCAACTCCAATTAAACCCCCCAATCCCCAAAAGAGGAAAAAAGAAAAATCCCCAAATCCGTAGCAAAAGAACCCTAATCTTGAAATTCCATCTCCCCCGTTCCTCCCAAATTGTTTCCATTAATTCACCTCCATTCCCTCAATGGTCCATTCCTTTTGACAATTCAATCTCTTAACTCTCTCGAATTCCACCCCCAGAGGATGGCAGACCCCCAACGATTCCCTCCGCCGCAGTCCGGCAACAACAAGAATTCGCTGTTGTCTCCGACGAGCTCCCGTTCCGTTACGGAGACCGTGAATGGGTCTCACAAGTTCGTAATCCAGGGTTATTCTTTGGCGAAAGGCATGGGAATCGGAAAACACATAGCCAGCGATAACTTCACCGTGGGAGGGTATCAATGGGCGATTTATTTTTACCCCGACGGCAAGAATCCCGAGGATAATTCTACCTATGTGTCTGTGTTTATTGCGTTGGCGAGTGAAGGCACCGATGTGCGTGCTCTGTTTGAGCTGACGCTGATGGATCAAAGCGGGAAAGGGAAGCACAAGGTTCATAGTCATTTTGATCGTTCCCTTGACAGCGGACCTTACACTTTGAAATACCGCGGCAGCATGTGGTGTGTTTTTCTTTGTTTCGTTTTTCTTAGTTCTTTTGTCATTTTTCTTTTCTAGTTGCTTCATTTGTTATTTCTTGGATCCCATGAATTTTATCTTTGTGTTATGTTAGTTTATTGGTCTGTTGTTCGCTTTGATTTAGTACTTCTCGTGCATGTAAATTTGACAAACTCTTACAATTGGTTCGGATTTATGAAATTCCTGTGTTTTTATTTTTCATTGGGTGGGGGATGGGGAACTGATTTAAGTTGGTCATGCATAGTTATTGGATACTATGGTATCAAATTGAATGCAAGTCTTTATTTATTGGTTTATTTTTTTAATGACTTGGGATAGTCAGGATCAAACCAAAATTGTCCTATTATCTGGCTATCTGTTGTGCTGTAAATGATTTTGAGAGGTATTTTAGTTGAAATTTCGAAAATGACCAAGATATTTTGATAATGTAGAACTGAAAAAGATGACATTTGTGATTTGAATCTATTAGTTGATTTTAATGCACATTTGTATGATGTCTGTACGACTTCAATAATCTTATCCTTCCGGAAAGATTTTTATTGTTAAATGCGAGCAACATAGAATCCTGAGTCCCCCAGACTTACAATTTCATGTATTATTCAGTTTAATTTGTTTTTGCTTTTTATTAGTCCAATACTGTGTGCTACTTGAATTTCCACTTCTTGTCCCGCTGTCTACCATGGCATCTGCCGCTTTTACCTTGCCACTTCTACCTTTGCAAGGCAAAGACTCATTTGCACCTCTTTTATGTGTCTCTGCTTAATTATGAAGGCATACATTTCATTTGTGTTAATTTAGTTTGTTGCCTTTTTCTTTTGGAAATTTAGTTCAAGTTATTTAGATGCGGATGTAACTTTGGGAAATTCTTATAAAGGCTGTTGCAAGTGTTACAATTCCAAAATAGGGTGTTACTCTTATAAAACTCTTCTTTTAAATAAATTCCTTATGACATTTTCATCCTCTCTATACATATTGTGCAAATGTTATATATTTGAAGTATTTCCTATTGTCCTTTACCAATCCAATCAGGTAAACCTTTCCTGGCGAAAATGTAGAATTCCTGTACCTGCTTCAGAATAAGCCGAAACTAGATTTAGTTGACTTTCTTCATGTTTATAAGATCTACTTACAATGACTAGAGTCAACATCAAACCTTTCTTCAAAACTTAATTGATGCCGAAGGAGCATTTTCTGCTTACTTCTTTTGGTCCTTAGATTCAATTTTTTTCCAACTGTATTCGCTTGCTTACATGATTATGAATGCGTTTATTTTCCTTTATTCAAATTTGTAGATCAAAGATGACCATTAAAACCCGCAACAGAGAGTATGCGTGGCATTCCGGCGATGATTTGTCTATAATGATTCAGAAGACAAAACAGGGCTTCATCTGTCTTTATTAAGTTTTATTGGCCACTAGATGCACCTAAACCTCTATTGAACTGTCATTACTTCTTTATCTATAATATATTCATGGAGTATGGCGTTCAGTTTGTCATCATATCAGTAAATTTTTTTTTTCCCTTTTTAAAGTAACATTTACGAATTGTTGGAGATATGTAAATAAACAGAAGAAAATAAGATGGTATACGACCGACATGCAGCTGAACTTGATTAAATTTTGTAAATCTGAAGATTGAAATAGTTATTCGTATTTGTTTGGTTTCTGGTTGTACTGAGAAAAGTTGATAAAAGAAAATTGATTTCCAATCTGTTGATTGAATTGAGTTTTAAGACGAACAGGGTTCTTAACCAAGTTAAATCAACCCCAATCTAATTGTTGTTTATATTAAGGAAATGGTTTTTTCAAACAAAACTGACCATAACAATTGAGGGAACTGTAAAATATACGAATCATGTGTTACTTTTATAAGGGTAAAAATATCCTTAGTATATGCCTTTAATTGGAATTTTAAAAGTGGAACCTATTTAGGAATTTGGACTCTTGCAGCCTTATTAATAAGAAATTCACCTATAACATTTGGAAAGTTTCCTGAGACTTCTCAATATATAAGTCGGTAGCAGCTTTGAAGGCTCAAAGTCTATGTTGCATTGAGAATATTCATTTTTAAGAATCTAAGATTGTCTTTTCAGGTCAATAATTTTATTAGTACTATTGTACATATTTCTTTATGAATAAATAACTGATGGAGATACTCTCGATTTGGCATCTTTGAATGCTCTTATTTAATAGCATTTTAAAGTTCAATTCAGGTATAATGCAGTTTTTCTTTTCAGATGTCTCAGTAGCTTATATAGAAAGAGAAACAAGAGTTTGACCTTATAAAGGTTGTAAATAATATGAAGGCAGTTAATGAAGAATCCTAGTTTGTGAATTATATGAAGGCAGTTAATGAAGAATCCTTTCTTCCTTGTCTTTGTTGAGCATCCATTAGTTTCATTTGAAATGACTAGTTGAAAAAATGTTTCACATGTATGGACCAAAATGAAAAAAACAAGTTGATTGGTTTGGTAGATAAGACTAGTCTTTTCACTTGCCTTCAAGTACTTGCTGTTAGGAATGACTTAAAATTAGCTGTGTGACGTGTGAATTACCTGAGTGTTGACTTTTCTGCATTGCTGCTATTGTGATGTTTCCCATTTGGTGCTATCTCCGTGGTTTTGTTTTCATCCTCCCATTTCATTGTTAAACTTTTTTTTCTGAAATTTGTTTTAATTTTTAAAACATTGACAAATGATCTGTTGTTGAAACCTTTTGTCTGCCTCATAGATGTAATTTATTGTGCAAGATCTTTGGTGTTATTTCTGTGCTCTAGCTGGTATGTTATTCTCGCTTCTTCTTTATTGGGCTTGATATGAATTTATTCTCTCTCTCTCTCAATACGCACACACACGCTTTAAAGAAACAGAGATTAATGACATGCAGAAGCATCAATTAGAGTTGTTATGCATTTCGGTTCTAATGGTTTAATGTGTTTTAGGGTCTGCCTAGCGTTTTAGACTCAAATATTCTGTTCTTTCTATTATTCTTTACACAATCATTTGTAAATAATGTCCAGTGTCCAGAGTCAAGTAGAGTATCCTAATATTCTGCATCCGTTGATCTATGTTTAGGGGATACAAACGTTTTTTCCGTCGTGCTATGCTGGAAACTTCGGATTATCTTAAGGATGACTGCTTGAAAATTAATTGCACCGTGGGAGTGGTGGTATCTGCGATAGACTGTTCGAGGTTACATTCAATCCAGGTCCCAGATTCTGATATTGGAGCACAATTTGGTGCATTGTTAGAAAATATGGATGGGTCTGATGTTATTTTCAATGTCTGCGGTGAAACATTTCATTCCCACAAATTAGTATTGGCTGCTCGTTCTCCCGTGTTCCGGTCTGAATTTTTTGAGAGTTCAGAAGGAAGCAATCAGGAAATTGTCATCTCTGACATGGAACCTTCGGTCTTTAAGGTGACAAATCTTGTTTTGTTTTGGTAAAAGCTTTTTCATATTATAATATTTGGTGTCTCTCTGCTCCATGCTGTCATTATCTATTTACAATCTTCTTTCCTAATGATAATTTGTTGTTAACTAATATACTTCTTTTTTTTCCTCCTCTCCAAAATCTCGTTATTTGACACAGGCTATGCTGCATTTCATCTATAGAGATTCGCTCGTTGAAGATGAACTAGTAGCTTCCAGCTCCACTTCTGATCCTTCTGAATTTGACTCATTGACGGCCAAGTTGCTGGCTGCAGCTGATCGATATAATTTGACAAGGTTAAAAACGGTGTGTGAATCACACCTTTGCAAGGAGATTTCTGTAAACTCTGTTGCTCAAATTCTTGCTTTGGCTGAGAAATATCACGCAACAGAATTAAAAGCTGTTTGTCTTAGATTTGCTGCTGAAAATCTTGCTGGTAAGTCAAATTTATATTTGAGCCTCTCGTTTGTCTTTAACGTACCTGTTTTGCCTGGTGTCATATTTTCATTTCTTCACTTTCTTCCGTTGAAGCCTTTTCTGGGTTCATGACCACTTTAGAATTTGTTTAGGATTTATAATGAAATGGAGGGATTAAAAGGATCTGTACTTGGTCAAACTATCGTAAAGAGTAATGTTAACAGCAGAGATGTATGTTAGTACCGGTCAGCACATTCTGTCGGCTGTTTGTGCAGTAGTTCCATTACCTAGGTGACGCTGCTTTCTCACGTTGGGGAGACGACTCAAACGGTAAAAATTAATTAAGTACAAACGATAAGGCAATGTGAGATGCAGGAGTTGTAAAAGATGCTTTGGAGACTATTGGTTTGGCTTGATGGTGGCATCCTTCTTGGGTTTATAGGATATTCTTTTATAGTTGTTCTTAAAACCTATGTCATTCTCTAAGGCTAACTGGAGATTGACAAAGGCCTCTTTCCTGTTAAGCTTTCCGCTTCCCGCTACACTCTAGCTCCTAAGAAGAAATCAGGGCATGCATCCTCTTAGGATTTGACATCTTTACAGTGGATTTTGCCCCTTGGTATATATTTAGATGTTTGATGATTTAGTCTTATATTATTTTTCCTTCCCCCCTGGAGGGGAGGGGGAGAGGAATTCATCGGTTCATTCTTATATCTACTCTAAATATCAAGCAATTTCCATGATTGTTGTGCTTCTGTTTGTTAGACACTCTAGTGTTGAAACGTTTGTATTCTGCAACGTCAGTTGATTATTACGGGGACAAACACCTTGCGGATAGTTAGTTTCTCTGCTCACCTGAAGTTCTTGAGTTAATTTCAGTAGACTCATTTCAGTTATTTTGGATGGTGATGTTTTTAGATGAACTTCTGCGGTTGTTCTAACTATCGGGAAATTTGAAGGGTTGTAGCATCGTAGCTTGTTCTGCCATGATGTATAAAGGTGGAATCAGTATCCCATCTTATATCTCTGCCATTTGAGTTCTTTCTGGATATGGACAGTCATCCCTATTACTAGTGCACTCTAGTTCTCTAAAACACGTGCTCTCGGATTATGAATTCATCACATCCATATCTAGAAGGAGTAGAACTTTGGTGCAATAGAGAGCAAGGTTCTATGAGCATGTTTTATTGTTCAGAAATGGGTACGCGAGATTCAGTAATTTGAATTTCGTTTGATATTGTAGACGCTTCACAAACTCACAGTAGTTATTTGTTTGGTTGAGTACTACCTCTTTTTTGTTAGCAAAAAGATGAGAGCATTTATAATGATTTTAAAATGCAATCATGATTTCTTAGGAAATCCGAGATAGATGCTTTTCTCATAAAATAAATAGGTAATTGATCTTTGTCCCTGAAATTTTCGTGACATATTGACTTTGTTGAGCTTATAAAAAGCTTCCGAAGACGAGAAAAAAGAGTTAGCTTATTGCACTTTCGTATGGTACATGAAAATTAGTATGAATTTAGGTGCTGCAGATATAGAGTAGTAAAGCAAGTCAAATTAAGTTCTGATATCATGATGTTCTACCTTGACCCAGTGCTGAATACTTTGTATTTGAGCTTCAGACAGGCTTATTGAAATAGTGATTAGACTCTGGGTGTGGATTGTGTTTGAGTCAAAGCTCAATGTTGATTTATGTTCGTGATATCTGACGCTAGTGAAATACTCTACTAATAATGCGGATTGAGATTGGTTAAATATTGATATAAAACAATGAGATGACTGTAATTGATTTGAACAAGAAAAGATCAAGGTACCTTATAACCGGAGATTCATTTTTAACTGGTTCCCTATTTCATTTTATTTTATTCTTTTCTTCTTGATGTTTTGTTCAAAATATAGCATGTGTGATTGAGGGGACATCTTTGTCAGTTATTTATCAAAGTGATCTTTAAGCAATTATACGATTTCGTTTGAAGCCAATGGTTGAGGTGGTGGATTTTCTTCCTCTTGTTTCATTTTCGACTTGTCATCTGTCACCCATATACTTTCTATTTTGGTTTCTGCTGATGGTCTGCATCAACGTGTTCTGGATAATAAAATGTGTTTGTTTCTGTTAAACAGAGATTATTGCTATAATTTGTATATTAAGTTATTGTTATCTTAGAAGATCCAGATAATATTTATGGGAGGAGTTGAAGGGAAAAGCAATTGCTGATGTCAGGATTTGGTATTGAGCATTGGCTAGGCTGCTTAAATTTGTTCGATTTGGCTGTTTCTGGTTTGACATGTTTCCTATGTTCTATGGATGGTGGGCTATACCATGTACATTTACCTGAACAGTTGGCAATTTGAAGAAGTAGGAATTTTCAAAACTAATTTGCGGAACTGCCTCTTGGGCTTAATGATGTAGTAATGTGCACACTGGAGTTGCATAACATCATAGGTTTTTCACAGTAGACGTATTTCATAGTTCTATCACTCGTGGTCATTGACATTGAAGGTATGAAGGTTGCTTCGTAAGGTTATAGTCATTGGGAAGGTTGCTATAATTAAAGGTCATTATCATCTCATCAGAGATTGTCATGGACATAGCTTTCGTGCTTTAACTTTGAAATTTCTTTGTAAAGTAGCTGTAGTGGATCACATTGTGGATTTGTGAGAGTTTGTGAATACTTCATTTTAAGGGGTGACCTTGGTGCTGTGTTAAGAACTATAGCCATTTCAGCAAAGTTGCAAGTCCAGTTGTATGAATATAAGACTTACAAGATGATGGTGGTTGGTCATAATAGTTAGACTTCTCCTTGGACCCTGCATCTGAGAGCGGTGAGGCACTGTTATACTTTTACTTATCATCTATGGGTCAATTTTTAGGCTGTTGTAGACGAGTATCAGATGTGGATGGAGTTTTAGGTTTGTAGCCCATTGCTCTCAGGTCGAAATTCCCTTCCCCAGTAGAAGTTCACATTTTATGTTTTTATCTTCATTTCTGATTCTCCTTCCTTATTCCAGGGAAAGAGGCTAATTTCAACCTTCTCTTATAGAAAAATATATTGATTAGGTCAGTTTTGTCTATTATTAAATGTGGTGCAAGTTAAGCTTTGCTGTATATATTATATTTTATTGGTGTACCTTATATGCAGTAATTAGTTATAAAAGTGCACCTGTAAATTAATTAGTATGTTCTTTTTCATGTTCTAGGATCAATAGGCATAACATTTTAAGAAAAATCATGCGTTTCACCAGTGAAATCAATCTTTTGGTTTAAATGTGGCTTTAGTTTGGCTCTTTGTTCCTTAATTAAGTTACAAAAGTGTACTCTTTGACTCAAAGGTGGAGAGCTAGTGCTTGATTGTTTTGTTATTTTTATTTTAGCATGAATAGGCATAATGCACTCGGATTGATCACTCTGTTTCAATGCAGCTGTAATGAGGTCAGATGGCTTTGAATACCTTAAAGAGAACTGCCCTTCTCTACAGTCGGAAATTTTGAAGACAGTAGCTGGTTGTGAGGAGGATTGTAGCAGCGGAGGGGGGAAGTCCCGGAGTGTCTGGGCACAGCTTTCGGATGGGGGTGATACCAATGGGAGGAGGGTAAGGCAGCGAACATAAACTTTTGTTGTAGGGAACTGATGTTGTTTGTACTTGATGGTGTAAGCCTTGTAACTTGTAAGTTGATTGTTTTGTTGAGAGAAAGCAAACGAAATTCCCATAGTTCTGTAATTGTTGTTCGTGTATTACAGTTGTGGCTGTAAACTGAATGCCTTTGCTCTCGGAAAAGGAGGGAGTATGAAGTTAAAAAGATGTGTTCTATATGCTCAAGTTATGGTGCTCTGTCATCTTTGCATCCTGTGGAATTTACATAAAGGGCTGTTTGCATTGTTCATATATCTGTAATTGGCGTCCCTGATGGAAATTAATGTCTCTCTGAAGAACCATATTTCTTTCCTTGCCTTGAGTTTTTTTCCCCCTTTTCATAGAGGTGGTGTTCATGTATATTTGCATGCTTTTTGTGCTTCTTGATTGATGTCAAACGTGTAAATGTCCAGCAAATGGTTCCAACTTTACATTCGCATTTATTACACGGTTTACACCGCTTCTGGCTTGAATGTCGACATTCCAGGCTAGTAATAACAGATTTTCGCTTTTGAAGAGGCTTATGCTCGGTTTGGTTAGATTGAATTGCAATTGAATTGGAATTACAATAATATTGAATTGAAAATGATATATTAATATTGTAATTCAATTTCAATTCCTTTGTTTGGAGATCTTGAAAATTGACTAGAATTAAGGTTCTAATTCTAATTCTCGCGTTTGGAGATACTTTAGGATTGAAATTTGTTTGTTATTGTATTAATTAATACTAGTACAATTTATACTTCTTGTCAAAAACTAAAAAAAAAAATTAATTTATATGGATATGTATATCACAAAAAAATAAATAAATTCATTATTTACATGTATATTTGACTACTTTGTGGTTGTTTAACTAATACAATTTTTATTTTTTTGTTAAAACAAATTATTATTTCTAATTAATTTGCTAAATCAATTTTGTAGTTTATTATGTACACATAGTTTTTGTTAGAAACAAAAGAAATATTACTACCTCCGTCCCAAAAAATTAGTCCATATTGAGTTTTCAAATTTGTACTAAAAACATTACAAAAGTCAAAACTCAATGTGGACTATTTTTTCTGGGACAGAGGGAGTATTACGTATAAGAATTATCAATATGATACTTACAATTCTCACTTATTACACAAACAAGTAACATGTAAAACATCCTTTTTTTCCTCTCTTTTACTATTTTTTAAAATTTTTAATTTTTCATGTTTTGATTTATATCAAAAAATTTTTACTATATAATATTGTAAATTCAGTTTATGAATATTGAGGTTTATTTATATATAGATTAACATTAGTATATAATATATGCTTAAGTTTTTTTTAATATATATATTTATGAAATAATTGATACTTAAAACTCAACTTACATAATTTTTGGTGAAAAGATGACATGAATAGTTTAAAATTTATATATATATATATATGTATGTATGTACTATAATATAGGTGTATATATGGAACAATTTCTATACTTTTTTTTTTTGAAAATGTTATGTTGTTTACTATGTTATAATATAATAAAAATTTTAACCCAAAACTAAAATATTTAGTTATTAATTTTTTTGGGTACAACTATACTTTTGATATTTTTTTGTAAAAAAGATACAATGTTAATTTTAGATTAATTTCGTTGATAATTATTAAATTGATATATATGAAATAATAATAATGAGACAAAAAGGTAAAAAAAAAATGAAAAACAAAGACAAGAAAAACGTCAGGAACCGCTGAAAGCAAAAAAAGAAAATAACAGTGCTAAAAAAATAAAATTAAAATAACAAAAAAATATTAAAAAGGTCAAAAGGCAAAAAAAAAAAAGGTCAAAAGGCAAAAAATGATAGGGCGGCCCGTTTAGGTTATAACCCGGAAATGATCCGGTTATGACCCGTGTGTTTTTTTTAAGTCCCTTGAATTTGGATTCCAATTATTTGTTCTAACAAAAGAATTGAAAATAAAGAATTGAGCCCCATCTTGAATTATAATTCCAATTCTTGGCCCTCTATTTTTTCAACTAAACACAATAATTAAAAATAAAGAACTCCAATTCTAATTCTTGGTCCCAATTCAATGCAACCAAACAGAGCCTTACAGGAATTGAGTTGGCCAGTAAAAATTGGAGCAACTTAATTTTGTTGTTCTAGTGGCTGTCAAATGAAAATGCTATCGCAGTCATCAGGCACGTCTGCGGGCAACAAAGGCATCCATAAGAGCCACAAAACTTGTATTCAGAGTGCTTTGGCAAGAACAACTTAAAGCAATTTTTGGTTTTCTGAGTTGAAGAATAGAAGTAGACGTAGTTTCACTTTGCCGCATCTTCTTCTTAATAATAGTTCCTCTACCCTAGAATAATGTTGCATTTTACAATTTGTGATTTGTATTGCTTTTATTATAAGGAAAATTTTATGATCCAGTAGTTAGTTTTCGATTGAACCATCCGATCAAATTGTAACCAATCAGAATTTAGTGTGTGCTAAATGATTGTGGGGTGAGAAATATTTTATCAAATTCTTCTCAATTCTCTACTTGCTAATAAGGTAACTTAACATGCTATTGTTTTTTATTTATTTTTTATTTTTTTATTTTTTTTTACCTAAGGTAACACAAATTTTATGACATAAAGATAAAACAAAATTAACTTCCCATACATCAAGTTCTGCAGTTTTCAAATTGAAAGCAGCAAGACAAATGCGTCCTGTTCGTTAAATTTTAAACAAGCGTGTTTTAAGTGGCTAACATTTATGCCAAAACAAAACTAACCATAAAAGCTACTATATGAAACAAAAAAATTGTCAAAACCACATGCAAAAATGATCCTCATTACAATGACATTTATTTATTTATTTATTTGAAGAATTTACTCTATTTTGAAGGAAGGTTTAGTTAATATCCTAAAGAAATTGTTAAATGAATGAAAGAAAGAATTGACCTCATGTTCCATTGTCCCACATGGATGAATGAAGACTCTTGAACTCAATATATATACCCCATGTGTTGCTCCCCTCATTGCCAATTGGTTTTGAGGTGGAACTACATGTGGGCTTATATGGGCCTTCAAGATGGTATCAGAGCGGATTTTAATCCGCGGACCTGTGGGACATGTGGAACGAGGTGGACTGACCCAGATTGAGTCTTGAAACTTTGGTCAACCCACAGAAGAAATCCGGGGTTTGACTTTGAACTTTGACTGGCTCGGCAGGCGACGGTTTATCCGGAAAAATAACCGAAAGAATTGACCTCATGTTCCATTGTCCCACATGGATGAATGAAGACTCTTGAACTCAACATATATACCCCATGTGTTACTCCCCTCATTGCCAATTAGTTTTGAGGTGGAACCACATGTGGACTTATATGGGCCTTGAAGAGAAATCAACACAAATCTCGAACCATTAAGGAAATACACTACAGCCCACAGAAGCTCATGCCAAACCTTCATGTCTCTAAATACATTCACCCGTTCTATTCAAGATATGTCTCTCCTGACTAAAAGAAAAACACTATTAGCAGCAGTAACAATAGCATTATGCTTAATAATGGTTATCCTTCTTTCAGAAATATGACGTTGGCATTACCTTGGCTAACTCTGCCAAGACCGGGGCGATAAAGCGGCAAGGTCTGCAGCATGAGCAGTATAATCAACCACAACCAGCGTTTTGGATTACTTGCCCTTGTTAATGTGCTCAACCCGTTTCGGCCAATCACATGTCCCTCCTCTGCGACGACTGCAGTCATTTTTCCTGTCCGAATACAATAACATGGCGCGCATGTGGTTCTCTGACTTCTTAACATAGTCAAGTCTAATTTTTCTTAGCCGTGTCTCCTCTTCCGAGCCATCTTCTCATGCAATGTTTCCCTGTTCTTTTCTTTGTTAACAACCATTGGAATTTGGTAGTAGAGCTATCTTTGATGGCAAGAAGGCCGGTGTGTTGTTAATCTTCCACTCCAACACCGCACTTCAAGTGTTGATTGGAGCTTTGATTATTTGGCCATTCTCACAAATCTCTGGCCTATTTGAAACAAGATTCATAAAAATTATCACACCCGATACGTGATCGAATCAAGAATCATGATTGAATAAATTAAAAAATCTGGACGCAATTGATTTTGTGTTGCAAATTTGCAATGATTGATAAATAATAATTTTTCTAGATTTTATCAATCAGTTTTATAAATTAGTATGTAAAACAAAAATATAAAACTGATTATTTACTAAAATATAAACCTAATGACGTTCTTTTCCTTGAAATTTATATAAAAGGAGTTTCATTGTTAATATTATATTTTATCTCATATAATCTAAAGCTGAATTTCCTTTTCTGCTTGTAAAAAAATCTATAATTTCTTTTCTAATTAGAATTGAAAAGAAAAAGTTGCTGCTATTCATCGATAAATTAATTTATACGTAAATGGTGACGAAGTCTTAGAGTAAGGGAATTTATTTATTTATTTTACATATTTGTATAGTGGCAAAAAAATTTAGTAATAGAGAATATTGCCTGATTCGCCTCAGCTGGGAAAATTAAAAAAAAAAAGGAAAAGGGACACCCCAAAAATAAAAATTACCGACTTAGGTAAAAAATACGGCGCGGGAAGGCCAAAAAAAAAAAAAGTTAAAAAAAAGAAAGAAGAAGGAAAAGGTGATATTCCGATGTAAATAGTAAAAAAATTAGGAAACGAAATATGAAAAGTTCCAAAAACACTGATTCCGATTTTGATTTGGAAACATTTCGCCGCCTTGGCTTCCTTCTGTATATAAATATAAACACTTCATAGTAGCAAATAACAAAAAACAGCGAAAAAGAATTTATTGGTTCTGACTTTAGGTTAGTTTTTAGTTTCGGCTTTTCCTAATAGGAACTTAGGAATTAATTTTGTTTGATTGTGTGTTTTGATCGAATAGATATGGAACCCTGGACTCTGGAAATTGGGTTTAAGTCCTCTGTTCATCCATTCCCGGAGGTCGGAGTCGGGTTGTCGCCGGACTCTGTTGTGTATTACGCCGGAACGAAGATTAGTCCGCCGGATTGTACAGTAATGTATACTTGGTCGAGAGAAATCAAAGGTTTCATCGGATTGGCTTCTTCGGCGGCAGCAGTTCATCAATTTTGGACGGTGGTTGGATCTTCATCAAACTATCTTCCGACGAAGGACGACTTGGGTCACTGTCTGAGGTTAGTTTCGTATGCTGTTAATTCTAATGGTGTTAAAATGTCTTCAACATTCATTTTTGTCACCAGTCCGGTTAGGCCATTAACTCTAAGCCCTTCTCCTCGTAGCATCATCCCCACAATCTCCGGCCTGAAAAGACTAGGAAAACCTCAATCTGTTGTAGAAAATAGTAGTGGTTTTAGGGTCTTGTCTTACAATATATTGGCTGATATGTATATTAAAAGTGGTAGAGATAATTATGATTACTGCCCTCCGGAGAAACTTAGCTGGGAATACCGTTGCCAGAATTTGCTGTTGGAGATTTTGTCTTATGAAGCTGACATTCTGTGTCTTCAGGAAGTTCAGAGTGACCATTACAAAACTTTCTTTGAACCTGAACTCGCTAGATTTGGGTACTTATCAATTTACAAGGGGAAGAGGAAAGGGATAAGTAAAGGTAAAGAACTTGTAACCGATGGATGTGCAACATTTTTTCGCCATGACAAGTTCAAATTGGTTAAGAAATATGAAATTGAATATGAAAAGGTTGCAGTCCCTATGATTAGTAGGCTAAAATCTGAACAAAGAAACCTAGGCATAGTTCGTCTGTTGAAGGATAACATTGCAACTGTAGTGATACTCGAAGAAATCGACAACTGTCATTCTAGAATATGTGTTGCCAATACTCATTTACTTAGTGGGAAGGGTGTATCTGATGTTAGATTGTTTCAAGTGATTAATCTCGTTAGGGGTCTCCAAAAAATTGATTCTTTGGGAATTCCTGTTTTAGTTTGTGGTGACATGAATTCTGCTCCTGGAAGCGATACTCATGCTTATCTTGTAGAGGGTAAGGTTGGTTATTATCGACAGGAAAAAAAAGACATTTTAGGGATGTCCAAATTTCTTAAATTGAATCATCCCATGAATCTGGCTAGTGCATATTCTGGGACACCAAATGCACATGGAAATGAGACACTGGATTACATTTTATATTCTCAAAATAAGTTGAAAGTAGATGGAGTGTTTGAAATTCCTTCTTATGAAAGCATAGGTAAGAGAAGGCTACTGCCCACACCTCAATGGTCATCGGACCATGTGGCACTTGTAGCTAATGTGAGAATAAAGAAAGCTTACAGGGAGCAAAACTGCTCAGAACCACTTCCTACTGATCCATGGGAAGAAGTAAAAAAGGTGAAGAGTTTCGAAGTTCAGAAGAAAGCATTCAAGAAACAGAAGGAGAGGCCTAACATTTACCATATCAAAAACATGGAAAGGAAATTAATATTTGAAAGTCTAGCGCCAAATTGTAAAATAATGTCCCGTTGCCAATTTGCCGGTGTTAACATCAAGCGGCAGCTGATAGGTTGTCAGTAAGATCCATTTGCAATTTAGGTCTGATATTTTAAGTGAACAGGTTTCTTGTAGGATTGTTGCTGTCTAAGTAATGGTTGCAGGTAAAGATTGAAGATACTACTCATCTGTTGATTTCTGATTATTCACTTCTTATTTGTAAAGCAAGTACAGGGAGGACAATGCATAGAAGGGATCCAGCTGCCCATGAATCTGAGAAGTCTGGACAAAGAATTATTTTTGCGAAGTCTTCAGCATTTTCTTGCAAGAATATCTGCCATGATCCAAATGGTACCCTGTTCAGAGAAACTCCAAGTATCTTGGCATGTCTCAAGGATCCGAGGACATCCATTTGAAGGATGTTGAAGAAGAGGACAGCCGTATATAGTCAACAGTTGGGATGACAAATTTATGAGAAGCGCGAGCGAAGAGGTTCTTCTCAAATCAGCGGCCATGGCATGATACATATAGCATGTACTGTATTGATATGAGATTTCCAGCTCGACATGGATGCACAAATATAGATAAAATTGGCCAGCCATTGGTGGAGGGACAAGGATGGAAAGAGGAAGATTCACTGGGCAAAATGGAGAATATCAGCAACAACTAGGGAGAGTGGAGGACTTGGCTTTAGTGATTTGAGCTCTTTCATTTAGGCTTTACCTTTCAAACAAGTGTGGAAATATCTGAAACAATCAGATCATGTAATGTCAAGAGTGCTGGGAGGCCAGTACTATCACTGTGATGAGATGGCAATCTATTGGAAGGGATGTTGGGAAAACTTGGGAGTAGATCATGGGTGACATGGATTGCAATGGAAGGTGTGGAAGGTCGAATTTTGATCAAAATTTGGGAGTAGAGTTGGATCTCTCATCCAATAATATCAGGGGGCACGAAAAATAGGAAATGTGAGTGTACTTTAATGAATTGTCTTTGAGCTCTCCGTCTCAGGGTGCAATGGGTGAAAATCTCTCGGATTCTTTCTATGCCCCTGTGTCCTGCCCTTTCTCCGACTCGATCTGAAATTCAAGAAGTGTTGGATTCATTTGACCAGCATCTGACCATTGGACAATTGCAAGAGGTACGTTTTCAACACCCTGCCTTGACACGCAAATCACAAGTATTGTAGAGCAGCATTGGAACGTATTGTTGCTGAACACTTTGGTCCAAAGAACACGGATGAACTCTTCAACAGTATACCTCAGAAACTTCAACACTTTGGATTTCATGTCCCTGATTTTTCCCTTTATTGCCTGCCGCAGGTGAATTGATCTTATTGTTTCAATGCAGCTGTGGTGAGGTCAGATGGCTTTGAATACCTTAAACAGAACTTGCCCTTATCTAAAATTTTGAACTAGGAAACTAGGAACGTAAACTTTTTGTTGTAGGAAACTAGGAAACTGGTGTTGTTTGTACTTGATGGTGCAAGCCTTGTAACTTGTAAGTTTTGTGTTTTGCTGAGAGAAAATAAACTGAATACCCACAGTTCTGTAATTGTTCTTCATGTATTACACTGTTGTGGCAGTAAACTGAATGCCTTCCCTCTAGGAAAAGGGAGTATGAAGTTAAAGAGATGTGTTCTATATGCTCAAGTTATGGGTCTCTGTCATCTTTGCATCCTTTAGGCATTTGCATAAAGGCTGTTTGCGTTCATTTTTTTTTTCTTTGTTCACATCACTGATGGAAATGAATGTCACTCTTACTGAGGAACCACATTTCTTTTCTCACTTACTGGATTTAAGTTGGTCACAAAACCTGCATCGAGATTGCACTGAGAAGAACAACCTAAAGTAGTGTGTAGATTTTCCAGTTCGTCTACTTTTGTGAATTTTCAAAAGCATGTCATTGCCAGAACTTGACTTTGGTGGAAGACTTTGAGAGAGTTGAGGCTCCGTTTGAGTTGTTGTTTTGGATTGTGTTTTGTGATTTTGTATAATAAAATAAACTAATAAAATAATTATGTGCAAAAATTTGTTTTTGGAGGGATTACAAAAATGCCTTCTCGAAAGATTAAAAAACCCAAAACCACAATATGGATTTTGAACTCAAAAGTCTAAGCAGAAGTTTGGACTTCTCTTTCTTATCATTTTCGACCTTTTACTAAGATGATTGTTCTGTTATAGCAGAACAAATAGTAGAGTATAATTTTGGATAATTCAATCTAGTGGGTTTCCGAACCGCAAAACACCTTTTCCACTAGTCTCAACTTGAAGGATCCAAGAACTTGCAATTTCAACTTTATCCTTGATACAAGAAATTAATTAGCTGGTGTTCGTCAAGTCTTCTACTCCTTTTAGAACCTCGAGAGGCATTGCATTTTCTTTGAGAGGCAAAGCATTTTGAAGTTCCAACTTCCGAGACTTGCCAGCATGAAGAATGTCAATTTTAATTTTATGCAGAATTCCTTCTTGATCAGAGATTTGAATGGAGAAGCTCAAAGGCAAATATCTTCTCGAGGAAATCCCTTGAAAGAAATTGGGAAAAGTTCATCGACAAGGTTTGTATTCTTTCTGTCATAATTCATCATATAGAATTAGTTTAAACTTTGAATTGACAGATGGATTTTCTGTACTATTATTAAACTTCAAGTAGCTGAATGTTGTCTAGATTCTTCAGTTAAATTTTGTTACTGCAATCTTTTTGATACACGATTGCTGCACGTGGGATTCATCCAAAATCTTGTAGCAATCTGTTGTCTTTTTCAGTTAAATCGACCTTAAATTTTTACCTCTTACCGATCTGAAGAGTTATAGGGAGAGATGGCCGCAAAGAGTCGTGTTCAAACAGTCTTGGATCTGTTTTGGAATTAAAAAAAAGTCCCAGAATCTGTTTCAGGAACTGGAGGTTTTGTTGAGACTTCTGTGGACATTTTACTTGTGCGGAAAGAAGTGGGGTACTGGTAGTGTGCGCTGTGAATCTACCTTGCTTAGCATTGAAGATACTGTTCACCAACATGCTCTGGAGATTCATTCTCTTCGTCTCAGATTGAGGGATACTGTCGATGATGGCAGCGTGAAGGATGATTTGACAAGATGGGATTCTCTCCAGGAACGGATTCCATATTTCTTGTCAGCATCCATCAGTCGTACTGGCAGGAAATGGAGGAGCTATGCCAAATTTTCTCTGGTGACCCATTGCAAATTAGCTCTTCTTCTCAAGAAGTTGAACTCGTCCTCAGTATCATGGACTCCCCTTCTGGACAATTTTCTAGATCTTCAGCACTTCGAGGACTACAGGAAACTTCACGGATGCCGAGTTTTGTAACTTGAAGAAAGTGTGAAGTTCTTGAAGAACGTTGTTCTTTTTGCCATGTTTCGAGGACTTGGCCATAGCCAAATTGATTATCTGTATGCTCGCATTGAAATGTCAGTTGTCAATGCTGCAAGCCTTCTTTTCAGGATTTGGAGTCATAAATATGATCCTGATGTGGACTCCAACATTCATCATCTTATAGTAACAATTCAGCCTGTTCAACACCATGTTTGTGGCATTTGTGTTCGAGTGTTGCAGCAAGCTTCAACAATTACACTCCTGGAAGCTAGAGACTTATGTTGGCGGGTTTTCTTGATCCTCTCCTCTTTCTTCTTTGGAAACTGATATCCTCTGATCACGGCTACTTGGCTTTTAACCATCAAATGCAAAAACTCTACAGAGGACTAACATCCTTGCAAACCATTTTGAAGGAACACCAAAATAAGTCTGACTATGAGCTATATGAGAAAATGCATTACTTTATTGGAGTTGTGATTTGTGAGGCAGGACTTCAATTTGCTTACTTTTTGTTAAAGAAAATGAAGGAGGCTTATTGCATTTTCTATTTTCGGAGCTGGAGAGAGAGATTAAGAAGAGACACATAAATATCGGGTAATGTTGGCATCCCGCTTTCCTCAAACGAACCTCCTAGGTTTTGTTGATTCCATCTTGGAAATGTTGAAGTTGGCCAGTCTATTTGAGGCTGATACGTATGCCAAACAACGGATAAGCTTCAAAATATCTATAAAGATGTATCATTTCTATAAAGATGTAGCATCACATGGCGGTAGCCTACAACCAAAATGGGAATCTCCAATATCTCTGGAACCATGTTGCTACAGTTGCCTACGAGATAGAGTTTGTCATCGATTCTTTGATGGTTGGAATTCCTCTTCAAAATTTGGACGTGGTACTTAATCATATCACATATGAGATTAAGCTTCTTAAGGGCGAGATCTATGAAACATGGTTTCCCAAGAGGCAGAATTCCCAAAACTTACAATAAGATCCAGATCGCAAATGAGCTCATTGTGAGCTTGGGTGATGAGACAGAGAAGATACGCAACCGACTTACAAGAGGAACAGATCAATTGGACATTATTTCTATTGTGGGTATGCCTGGATTGGGCAAAATAACTTTGGCTAAGAAAGTTTATGGCCATGTCTCCATCATCCATTATTTTGCTGTCCGCGTTTGTGGCGCACTGTTTCTCAAGTATACACCAAAAGAAGATTGTTACTTGACATTCTAGGTGATGCTGTTGATGATCAAATGAAGATGATTTGGCTAATCCCCTCGGCAAACATTTGAAGCAAAAAAGGTATCTCAGTTTCTTGGATGATGTTTGGGATACTACAACATGGAATATCGTGAGAAGTTCATTTCCGAATGACTCAAGTGAAGCAGAATACAATCAATGATGTAGCTTCACAAATCAAGCCACTGCAGAAGAAGATGTTTCCTAAAGAAGGATGTCCTCCAGCATTACTTGATCGTGGGAGAAAAATAGCAGAAGAAAGGTTGATTGTAATTGTTGGAGGCATACTTTCAAACATGGAGCCGCATACTTGGGAAGAAGTGGCAAGAAGTCTTAGGAAAGGTATCCTATCTATTGCAGAACAATGCAGGTATTTCCTGGATGACCGACTTTGGTTTGATATCTTGTAGAATTTTTCAGAATCCAAACTTTTGAGAGTTTTGGATCTCAGGGAAATCTACTTCGGGTCCTTCTTTCCAATTGAAGTAGGATTATTTGGTCACTTGAGGTACTTGGCGTTGGCCACGGCATGGTTAACTCCAGAAACACAATATAACATACCACCGTCAATAGATAATCTCTCAAATCTGGAGACATTTGTTGTTGAAGGGCGACATACACATGTTTTGCTGCCAAATACTGTGTGGAATATGAGAAAGTTGAGGCATCTATGTACTACTGGTGAGCTTGCTTGGTTGGAGTTTCCAAAAGAGTGTTGAGTATACCTCTGACTTACAGGTTCTACAAACTCTTTCTGCTGTCGGCTTTTCATCTATCCACATAATGATGGAGGTTATTAAAAAGTTTCCAAATATTCGTAGCCTTAGATGTAGGCTCGAGGAGGCCAGCTCGCATACTCAGGACAGCTACAAGATTCTGAACCTAGACTTCACGAGTAAGCTTGAATCACTCAGCCTCTATTCACATCCAGCGGGGTTCCACAATTTGCATCTGCAGTTCTCCCAAAATCTGAAGAATCTAGTTCTGTCAAACTTTGGCCTTCCCTGGAGTAAATTTCTGCAATTGAGAAACTATCAAACCTTGAGGTTCTAAAGTTACTGAGTAATGCCTTCAGCGGGGAAACATGGGAATGTGTGAAGTAGGAGGAACATTCCCTAAACTCAAAGTTCTGAAGTTAGAACTTTTGATTCATTTAGCCACATGGACAACATCAGAGGAAAATTTTCCTTGTCCTGAGAAGTTAGTGTTGCATTATTGCACTTGGAGCAAGTTCATTTCTGTTTTGCCTATGTTTCATCCCTTGAAACTATTGAAGTGCTTTATAGCGACCGTGTGACTACTGCAGTAAGTAATATTCAAGAACAGAAGAACAGATGAGAATAGGAAATGAACATCTGAAGATCGTAACTGCGAGAAGCAACGTTTTTGGGTGCATTGTTGATGAATTGAGAAGGTAATATCTGGAGATTGTTTCTGTGAGAAGCAACTTTTTGGATGCAGTGTTGATGAATTGAGAAGGTAATCCAAATTTTCTTTTTGCAATCATTTTATGTGAGATAAGCCTATACTTTTCGTACTATTTGCATTCTTTTTGATATTTTAGTATATTTATTAGTGAGATGAATGGTATGGCATATGCATCCACCTCATCTGCGCTTACGTTTGAGTTCTGCATGATGGTATAACTAAAAAAACCCCAGTTTTTTTTTTTTTTTTTGAGTTTCATAGAACTACTTTGATGTGCATCTTTTTGGCATATAAAATCGAGAAGCTTTCTCATGGTTTTGGATCGCATATAAGCTTTTTTGCCTTTCCATTGAACTTTTTCAACTTAATGTATAGAAATGCCATCTTGAAGTTGAGGTATATTCATTTCTTTAGCTTTCTTTTTTCTTGAAGTTTATACGGAATGAACCCGATAATGTAGAACTTGATTTAAAGATGGTTGTTTATGCAGGTTTCATGGTGCATAGAATTTGCAAATTTTATAACATAGTAGAAGGCAAAACGCCTAAAACTAACCCCTGCTGGCTTTTACATCATTCATGATCGACCCAAGGCTTAATCCTCTCTGGTGGCAGCTGGAATCTATGACAACCAAAGGATCACTAAAGGCTCAATTTCATAATAAATCCTCACTTTCTTTGACATTGTTGGGATGTGTTATATACTCCTATCTTTTTTTCTTTTTCTTTTTCTTTTCCCCTTTTTTTTTGAGATGTTCTTAGATGATCTTGTTTGCTTGCATAGATGGATTGGTGGATTCTCAAACCAAGTACTCTCAAACCCTTCCAGAGAAGCAACTTAGCTCTGAACTTTATTACAATTCTTGAAAGTGTGCCTAATTGCCAGCTGTTGACGTTGTATACATGCCTTCTGCCCCGAAATTTATTACCCGACTTTTGTACTAGTTTTAGTACATCAAACAACAGTATAAATCATAGTTTGCAAACTCACGATCCTGGATTGTATCAAGTACCAAAATCGATCTTGGATTGATTAAACTTGAATTTGTACTGGGATCGGTTAGGATCGTACATGATCGGTCAGGATGGTAGGATCGGTTCGAGTTTACTATTCATTAATTACAAAAAATTAATTGAACTTATTAAGATTTTTTTTCTTATTTCTTTTGGTTTATATTTAATTGAGGCTAATATTCATTGAGAAAACTTTAATTGCTAAGAAAAATATATTTTAGAAAATTTTTCTAATAAAATGAGAAGAGTTTTTATTAAAAAGTTAAAAATTATGAAAAAATTCACACACGAAAAATTGAATTTATACAATTCTTTTCGTTTAAATGCTAAATACTTTATTTAAAGATAATTGAAACCTAATTATTAAAGTAATTAATTATATAACATGAATAATTAATTTTACGATCCTATTATTCCGATCCTACCGATCCTGTTTACGATCCGATCCTATGATCCCGTTTCAATCCTACGCAAGATCGCAATCCTGCAAACGTTGGTATAAACTACTTTAGGTTGTTCCTCGATGCAATTTGTGGTTCTTGGATTCGTAGTCATATATCTTGCCATTTCATTAATTGTGCTGATTGATGAGATTAATTCTTTGTTAGTATTACTCATGAAATCTAATTATTTGTTGTAAAGCTCATCTTTTTACAATCTCATAAGCTTCCTTCATTTGCATAGATTGCAAGGGAGAATTAAATTTCTCCCACTGATTTATCTAATTGGCTCAAATCAGTGACAACCCAAACATAAATATGAAAGTTGTTGTAGATGGCTGTCATTAGGTAGTTATTGAATGTATATCCTTGCCCTTTGTTGCTTAATTGAGGAGTAAAATGTGTAAAGTCTTAAGAAAAGTTCAGTAGCGTCAATGATTAATGTAATATACGTACGTAATATGTACTTCTTCCATTCCAAAATAAATGTCATTCTAGAGTTTACACACAATTTAAGAAACTCTTAATTAAAATAGATAAATTACTAGAATATCTTCAACCAACCCGATTAAAATAAATGCCCACCAATAATATTTATTTCTTTTGAGGGTATGTTTGAAAATTTTTGATAAAAAATGCATTGAAACCCGAAAACGATACTTATTTCGGAATTTCTCCATTTTGCTAAAACGACACTTATTTTGGAATGGAGGAAGCACTATCTATCATCTTAAAAACTATGAAACCTCGATGTAGCAAAAAACGCTACCAAGATTTTTTTTCTTTTTCTTTTTGCGGCGAAAAAAAAAAAATTGAAAGCCGAATATATAGCATTTTTCCGAGACTTGAAATGAAAAAACACAAGAAATCTTAAATTCTTGAGAGTCATTGTTGCATAGAAGGAATATACATTAATTAAACGTAAAAAAAAATTTACATGACCCTTCTTTGGAATTGAGAAATTCTGACAGCAAAAGTTACCCAAACTTTGTCACAAACGTTTTCTACAGACCTAAAGTAAGCATGTCTCCATGACTTCTTGAGATGAAGAACATAGAAAACTCCAAAGAAACCAACTGCAAAACCAGGTCCTATACCATAATAAAACCATGAGAACTCAAACTTATCAGCATTGTGATCAGTTCCATGACTAGACGTCGCAGGTGTACCTTCTCTTGACGGTGAATCATCAGGACAGCTCTTCGTTAGGGGCTTACCGCAAAGTCCACTATTTTCTTCATAAATAGATGGATCATTCAAGGTATTGAAATGATTCCCTGACGGTACACGCCCTGCCAAATTGTTGAAAGACAAGTTTAGGTAGCTCAGGGAGTCTATATTGGCTAACCTTTGAGGAATTGCTCCAGAAAGTTGGTTCATTGACAAATCAAGGGACTCCAAACTCTTTAAATTGTCAATCCTCTCTGGGATCTTTCCACTCAAGTTATTTCTGGACAGGTTCAAATTTTGCAGTCCTTGGAGATCCATTAACTCATCAGGGATCTCACCATATATGTTGTTTCCCGAAAGCGTTATGGATTTTACATACCGAAGATTTGTGATATACTCCTGGTCTGATCCTTTCAAAATGTTCCAAAGTGAATCATAATAAATATTACCGATTCCAGTATCTCCACGGGACTCATCTGATAGCATCGCACTCAAGTTCCCAAGACAAGGAGGGATGTTGCCAACCAAGTTGTTCTCTGCTAGATTTAGCACTTGAAGGGAAGGCAATTGACAGAGATTTACAGAAATGTTACCATAAAAATTGTTGGATTGAAGCCTAAGAAATCGCAATCTTGAGAATTCTTTCCCGATCCAATCAGGTATTGAGTCCCTGAACTGATTATTGGCTAGATCAAGAGTAACTAAAAATGTCAAATTTTGCAATGACGAAGGAAGCAAACCGAATAACTTGTTCCCACTCAAATGCAGGAAATTAAGCCCACCCAATTCACCAAGTGTATATGGAATTTGACCGGAAAGGCTATTATTCGCCAGATCCAACACTTCCAACTGCCTCATTTCTCCAAGGCACAGAGGAATCTTTCCGGTCAGCAGGTTATTGGCGAGAGATATGACCTTTAGAGACTGCAAGTTGCATAATTCCTCAGGAATGTTACCAGTCAAATGATTGTTAGCAAGGTTAAGAGCTCCAAACCGCGAGTTTATTGAGTGATTCGCACCGAATGCTGGAACAGGTCCAGTCAAGAAGTTGTTGGAAAGATCAAAGTAAAAAAGATCAGCAGAGGTAGTCCAGCACCAACCAGGGAGAGAACCGGAGATGCTGGCATTTCTTAGGGCTATATGACTAATATTCCTTTGAGTTTGGAGAAAAGGAGGAAATTGGGTTCCAATGAAGACAAAATCCATCACAAGCTCGTCCAGCTGAAATGGAGGAATCCATCGGGAGCTCACGTTAAAACTAAGAAATTTGTTCTTTGAAATGCGAAAGTGTCGCAAACTTTTGAGTTTCCCAAAATCAGATTCAGATAGCGCACCGGACAATGAATTGTAAGTAACATCTAAAGTGTCCAATTCAGTAAGATTCAGTAAAGCTGGAGGAATTGTACCATTCAACTGATTAGCATTAAGATTGAGACTTTTCATCATCGAAAGCTGTCCAAAACTTGAGGGAATTGGACCCTCGAAATAGTTAACAGAAAGATCAAGTGTAGTTAGCTGCTTGAGATTACCAAGCTCATCTGGTAGTTCTCCACCAAGCTTGTTGCTTTCCAGATAAAGACTTGTCAGAGAACTCAGGTTCCCAATGCACAAAGGAATCGATCCTTCGAATTGATTAAAACTAAGGTCCATGGAAATGAGACTAGTAAGGTTACAAAAAGAATCTGGAGGTAAATCAACTAACCCGCAACCTGACAGAGTCAATGTTGACAAGGAAGGCAGCGAGTTAATCGAAGACAACCAATCAAGAGATTGACTCATATCGGTGTTATAGATTTCAAGAGTTTCCAAAGAAGTAAGCCTAGAAATCCACTTGAGACTCTTGATTGTTAGAAGAGTATCTAAAAGATAAACTGGTTCACCAATATATAACTGTTGCAAGTTGGAGAGATTCCCAAGATGTGGAGGAACCTCCCCACCAAAGTTTGCATCAAGGTCGAGATACCGCAAATTTTTCAAGGATCCGAGAAATGGTGGAATCGGAGTACCTGAAAAGTTGTTGTAATAAAGATCCAAATACTCCAAGTGCTCCAAATTCAGTATGGATGGATGTATTTTGCCTCCCAAGTCGCTCATAGAAAGATCAAGCATTTTCACGGCGCCGGTGACGTTGTCGCAGGTGATTCCATCCCAGGAACAACAGTCTTTTCCAGTCCATGATGACAAGCGATCCGTTGTATCGATCAGGGCACCTTTGATATCCATGAGGGCTTTCCATTCGCTATCGATGCAGCTCGGATTGACTGAATGGTTAGAAGTACTTTCGGTGTATTGAAAATGAAATGCTAAGCAAACTGAATGAGCAAGAAACATGATGACCAGCATCAATCGATTAGGAAAGCTTTCCATTGTTTTTGTTTTGTTGGTTTATTGGAAAACAACATACATTTTGCCTACTATATATGATCAGGTGGGTCGTTCGGGAATTGATTTTCCAATGAATTTTGTGGAAGTCAAAGCACATAATTGAGGACTGTGATTATTGATCGTGGAAAGTCAAAGAACAAATTAAATATAGGACAATCATGATTGATCATAGAAGTCAAAGAACAAATTAAATTGAGGACAATTATTACTGATGGTGCAAGAATTCTTTTGGTGACATTTTTTATTTATTTTTTTTCATATTTGTAGGGTGTCCACTTTTGGTGAACATTAAATATAATTATATACAGAACTGGAAGAATTGTTTGTTAATTTTTGCCATTTGACCATAGACAAATTGATTATCTGCCCTTTTGAGAATCACAAATGGTACGGTATTTGTGCGAGACTTCAATTTCAGAAATTGATACTTAATTTCAACAAGTAATTATATATGAAGTGATGAAATGTTATAAAATATTACTAAAATTCAGAAGGAAAAAGATATTAAGCTAGCTTAGTCAAAGAATAATTAAAGAAGATAAATAAATAATTTGTAACTTAGAAATTTTTTACTTACAAATTGTAAGTAAATAATTTTTCAAAAGTAACCAATTTTGAACATTATTACGTAGTGTACTCGACCTAAAGTCAAACTTGAGAGTTCAAATAGAGATTTTTTTTTTAAAAAAAAAAAAAAGAAAGAAAAGAAGAAGAAGAGTTTAATTAGAGGCAATACCTAATGTAAGTACTAGAAATGAGCTTTGGATATGGAAAATTTTATAGTTAGATTTTAATGATTAAAAAAATTTAAAGAAAATCGAAAAACCAAAATAAATAAGTAAAAAATCTTTTGTGTTGTTAAAATTTTAAAAAAAGAAAATCAAAAAACCAAAATATTTAATATTTCGTCCTTCCGGACGGGATTGCTTTTGAAAATCAAAGGAACCAATAGCGTTGCTATTTTTAGATTCGAGGTTTTCCTAACTTTGGATATCTTTTTCACTTACTCATAATTTATCAAATTCCCCTCTTTTAGGTACAAGGAAACATAGTTCCAAGAACATCTCGAATGGTCTACTCACTGAGAAATTATTCCATGCACCTGCTGTATCACATCAGCACTCATGATGTGGTGAAGCAACCCAATCCTATAATGACATGGAAAAACATAAAAACATTTTAAATAATATTTTACTTTAAACTTGTTGCCTAAAATAAAAAAATACGATTCTTTAAATAAAATGTAAAATTATCAAATCCCACTGTATTTTTTTCCAAAGATTGGACCTGTCGTTGCTCCGACCCTCAACACTGGAATGCTAATAGAAAAATGTATCTGGTAAAAAGGGACTGAAACTTGCAAGGTGGAGGAAAAAGACAAAGGGAACAAAACTAATAATATTTCGAAGTAATTGAAAAATTGATAATCTATTATTTAGAGAGAGTCAAGCCGGGAAAAGGCAGATGAAGATGATGAAAAGGGGACGAAGGAGAAGAATATACTCTTTGAGGTAAGGGTGGCTAAATTTTTTGAAGCATATAATGTGATTAAGGAGGAAAAAAAATTGCTTGGGTGGCTAAGAAATTTTTTTTTGAAGAACAAAATTCCAGATAGCAAACTCAGTTTTAGAGGAAAAAAATTGATTTTAGAGCATATTGAACCTCCATCCATTAGATTTGAAAATGCCATCCAAAATAAAATAGTTCGTGGATCGAAGAACCTTAAAAAAGTAGCTATATTAGAGAAGGGACAATTGTTCATCCAAGATAAAATTGGTGAATTTATTCCCCCTTATTTCTGGATAGGTCGCCATTGAAATTGCATCACTTCTGGGTTTCCGGCGTCGATGGAAGTTAGAAGCAGCAGTACCGTGAATCTTTGAGATATATATGGAATTGATAATTATTGTGAGTATTAGAAATTACACATGTCCTTAGGGGATTGGATTGCTGCACCACATCATGAGTGCTGATGTGTTACAGCTGGTGTATCGAATAATTTCTCCTACTCATAGATTAGTTTATGATCCACTAGTTCAGGAACATAAACTTAAACTTTTTTTAAGGGCTAAAGCGGCCCTTTATCTTTGGAAAAAAATAACAACCGGAAAAACATGTTTTTTTTTTTTGTTTTTTAGTGTGGTATCTTGTTGTCCATGGTGATTTAAGACTGGGGTCTTTTTGTTTAATTGGAGAGAACAAATTTTGAGAAAATAATAGAATGTAATATAATTTAATATTTATATACTATAGGGCAAACTCTAGCGAGAGAAAGTCTAAGGTATGACATCATGCTACATAGGATCTAGTTCTAAGTGGGAATTTTCTAAAATTTCAATCGAAAAATAAATTACCATTAATTACTGCTAATTTCTATAACAAAATCAAAGTAGATAGTGATTTGGAGAATTTTTGAACGAACAAATCTTAGCTGTTTGGTATCCCAGATCACACAATCAAATCCCTCAAATCACTCGCGGCAGTCATGATTCCAATTTTGTATCTCTTCCATTGGAAATCTAACATATTCTCATGGGATGAGATCACGAAAAATATCAAATTGATGGCCTACCATTTGGGATTGATTTTCTCCGTAACAAATTATCCAATTTTGTATCCTTCTTCAAATTGAACTAAAATCAATCCCAAACGGCAGGCCATCTAATTCATTTTTTTCATGATCTCATCCCATGCGGATCAAGTTGGATTAGAAGGTGAAGATGCGAGAACTCAAAGCTGGAAGAAGGATACAAGAACCCTACATGCATATCACGCGTATGGAGAAGAAGGAAACAGTTTGGTAATGGACAATGCAAACAATGCAAAACCTAACATATTCTCCAAAAGGCAGTCATTAGTTTTATTTTATCAAAGATCTCCCTCACATGGTCCGTGTACTCATTGTTCGGAAAATCGGTCGATGTATTATCAAGCCTTCGGACTTTTCTAATTGATGGGATGGTAAACTTTATACTTCATCCCTGGACTAAAGCTCTTATTAATTTACTTACAACCATGTCCAGAAATTTTGTTTCTTTTCAGGGAGAAAAAATACCAGCAAACTCCAAAGGAATACCTTTTAGCTATTAAGTGACAAACTTCATTAAGGTGTTCACGTGGAATGGGAAGTGATAAACCTAGCTACCCTTGGATCCATGCCACAAACCCATTGGATTTTTTTGAAAGACTAATTTAACCATTTGATTTCACTCATAAATCTCTCTTTCAAAAGAGAGATAAACCTAATGCCTTTTTCAATATGAATGATAAGAATTGGAAGTGGAAGTGGGCCGGAAGTTTTTATACTCAATGATAAATAAAATTTTTATAATTTTTTCATGATAAATTTTTCGCAATCAATGAAATCAACTCCAATTCTTATTTTGTATCATTGTTCCTCTATATTTTATTTTGATCTCGGAATAAATTAACTCTGTTAGTTCATAAAATTGTTTGTCATTATACATACATTGGTAAAGTATTCCCCCTGTCCTAAAAAAATATTCTGTATTGTTTTTAGTATAGATCTTAAAACTCAATGGAAACTATTTTTTAAAAGTTTTTTGAATAGACGTACAAAATTTTATTTCACTGCTTTTATAATTTCTATTTAAATTTATTTGCCCATCCAACGGACGAGTTTAACATCTAGTTTGTGAAATGATTATGTTGACAAAAGAGTACTAAAATAAAAGTTTACGAGTGTTTATCGTTAGAGATTTGTAAGAGGAGAATCTCCTGTGGCTGTTTATGAGTCAGTTTATGACTGACAAAAGACTCTTAAGCTTGGGCTGTTTATGAGTCATCACCGAAGACAAACATGGGGAGGTTGAATTCATATAAACAACATAATACAAACATGATGGCAAATTATCAACCGGCCCAATCTAATTTGGAAGTTATATAGTCCAAGTAGGGCTCTTTCACCTTATCTACAGTTTATTTTAGGATTTTGTTTGCCAGAAAATGCGGGCCTTGCATTTGAGCAGACGAATTGTGCAGCACCTCCTGTGAATTTTAAATCAATGTTACCAATCTCCACACCTTGGCAAGGGAAAGTAGAACTGCAGACCAGATTCACGGCGACGGGAGTTGATGAAGTCCCTGTAATGCCTTTGAAGCTGATTTTGTTGAGTTTAACCCTTGATGGCTACATGAATGGGACGAAAAATTATTTAGGTGTAATCACATGAAATTATATTCATTATTATTAATATAAGGAGAACTCAATGGATGTTCTCACACCAAAGATAAAGTCATGTTTATTATTCGACATACACGAGTTTCATTTTGAGATGATATTGTTTTTAGAAAATCAGTTGGATTTTGTTAGAAAAGGTAGGGTATGAGTACTTACCATATTCATATTGCAACCACCAGATGGGCAATAAAGTTGGTCAATATTGATAGGGTTGCCGACATTATCCATTCGGATGTTTTCAAAATGCATATTAGATGCTTCGTTTGGTTGGGAGTATGCCCAAGTTTTGATTCTAACGCCATTCATGGTGTTGGAGAGATCTTGTTTGTCACCCAAACTCCTACAACAGGCTTCTCATCATTATACTTTCCGAGACTTCCAACACTAATTCCGTGTCCAGGTCCACAACTGATTCTCGTAATGTTAACTCCTTTAGTATCATCCCCAATGGAGACACAATCATCGCCAGTTTTGAAGGACGAGTCCATGATGGTTACTTGTCTGCTCTTTCCAATGTGGATACCATCTGTGTTTGGACTATTTCCAGGTGCAGTGACTTTTAGATTTTGGAATGTTGCATTCTGAGCATCACTTACGATGAAGTGGAATGATTTGGCATCCTTGGATGTTATGTCCCTAACTGTTAAATGCTTGAGATTGTGAAGACCAAAATTCTGTAAAAATAATGGTCATGTATGGAGACTTGCATTAGATAATATACACTATATATGTTTCTTCGGGACGATGGGAGTAGCAATTGTAAATAATACAAAACTTACATTTGGAAATTGATTACATTGTGTAGAATTCCAACAATGTTCTTTGTTTAGTGCCCAGGACTTAGCTCCAACGCCATCATAGACACCGTTGCCGTTGATGGTGAGATGGTCGACGTATTGTATCATTATCCATTCATTGTTCTTTTTTACTGATGTCGGTTCAGGGAGGGCAATGACGGAGCCTTGATTAGTAAGTGCAATATGGGGAGCCTTGCAAGGGCCTTTTAAATATGCTTCCTTCAATATAAATTTGCCCTTTGGAATCAAAATAGTGCTTGGTGTTGAAGAATCACATGCACCTTTCCAAGCAGTTAACAGAGCCTAAATATAACCATAATAAAAACCATCAATAGAACAATGATGAAATCAGGTTCCCTCGGTAGCTCCGCAGGATCCTATTTAAAGGCTCCTTTAGAACCAACCTTCGGAGTTCCTATAAGTATGTGTTTTTGTCACTGAAAGATTCATATATTTTACTATAATTCAATGTAATTGAATAACTCTATGTTTGTACCTGGCTAATGTCAGCACCACCAGGCTTTGCACCGTAGGTTGTGATGTCAAAAATTTGAGCATGTGCTATGAATAAGCAATATAAGGAAATGGTGATGCAAAGCATCCTCCTCGCCATTTCTTTCCTCTCTTGGATAATATATTTTTGTTTGTCCTATTTTTAGCTAAAAAGAGTATATTTTTTTCTCTTCTTGTTTTTTAATTTGTATGTTTCAAAATATTTGTTTGGGAGCTATTTATGAATGATGGGGGAGGACTAATTTAGAAATTCTAGCTGTTTAGAGAATGTCATTATCATTCTTGCCAGCTACCAGTTTCGTTAATCAAAAAACAAATGAAAAAAATGTGAAAACAGAATGACACTATTTTTCGTAGGTGTGAGGTTGTTGAAGAAGGTAGATAAATGTTATGGCTAAATTTGCCAGAGATGCATGATTATCATCAACAATAAAGAAGAAAGTTCTTTTGAAAATAATTACATAATTTGTTCATTTTATATACTTTCATATTTCATTCAATTTCGCTCTTGATATAAAGTTCCATGCGAGATAAAAAAAATTATGGAACCATCAAAATAAAATAACTGAACTTTGTATATCTACATAAATTAAATCAATTAATAAAAAAGTGAACCACAAAATAGGTCATCGAACTAATGGGTAATTTCATCATATGTCATCAATCAAATTTATTTATAAATATAACCCTTTACTAAGCCAAAATTCATCCAAGGTCAGTTTGTTACTTTTGGGCGTTAAATCATGCAGGAAAGCTATTTTTCACATACAAAACATGTGAGTTGGGTCCAAAAGTAATTTTGTCATTTTGTATTTTTAAAATATTAATTTTTAATTTTATTTTTGTAGTTTTTCTTATACTTCCTAACTTGTATATATTGATACTAATCACTAAATTTTAATAATTAATTTACTTTTTGTATTTTAACTTCCAAGTTCTAAAAATTATAAAACAATTATACTGTTAAAAAGTGGAAGCATTTTTTTTTTAAAAAGAGTGCAAGTATTTATCTTTTTCATGAAATTCAATGATTTGTTATAGTTTTTAACCATCGGAAGATTAACAATAATAATTCAATGACCAAAATATCATTTTAAGATAGAATGAGTAACATTTAGATTTCGTAAGTAATCTATGATTTTTTTTTTTTTGTAAGTACTCTATGTGTTATATGGAGTCAAGGAAAACTGACTTGTCTTAACTGATTCTTTTTTTTTAAAAAAAATATTTTAAAAAAAATTCAAAATGACAAAATTGCCCCAGACCCAACTCATATCTTTTGCATGTTAAAAATGGATTTCATTCATGATTTAATGTCCAAAAGTAATAGAATCACCTCGGATGGGTTTTTGGCTTAGTAAAGGGTCCTATTTTATAAATAAATTTGGTGGATAACCTGTGAGAAAATTATCCAATAGTTCGATGACCTATTTTGTGATTCACTCTTAATCAAATTTTGATATAAAATAGGTAAATGTAATTTTAAGTTTGAGTTTAACTTTATCCCATTTAATTTTATGCATAAACATTCATTGGAAACATTTTCTGCCACACGTCATGTAGCAATACTCACAAAGACATGTACAATTGTGGATACTCTTTAAGTTATAAAACTTAACTAATACATAACAAACCCTTAGATAAAGAATAATAAATGAAATAATGATACGTGTCAAAATTAAGTAGTTTTGTCAAATAAGTAACACAAAAAATTATTACATGAAATCCTCTGATAATTCCTCAAGATCTACTTTATTTTGATTCTTTATCTTCAAAGCTTACAAAGTACTCAACCTTTTTGAAGAAAGTTAGACCTCGCAAAAACTACACGAACATAATTTGGCCTACCTTAGGACATATTCCTGTGTTTTATCATCAACATGGTTAAAATAAGAATACATAATCATGAAGGGATGAGGACTCAAAGAGCGATGATGTAGGTTAAAAGATGAACTATTTTATACTAGGATCAGGCTATACTAACTCCAGGGGATTTTGCAAACTTTTGAGTATTTTTTTTCTTCCTCTTTTTAGAGTTTAATAAATCTCATGAGGTTTTGGTTTCGTATCATGAACTCTTTCAGGTATTAGAAATATCATCCACTTGATCTGAAAAGAGATTAGTACCACTTCGACTTGCTTTTGGTTACTTTGGGAATTTTTTTTTTTGTTTGTGGAATTTCTTAAGAGCAACAAAACAAACACAAAGAAAGCAGTTCCATATCAATATACTTACATCTCTCATCTTGTCCTTTTCATTAACTTGAAATCGTATCAAGCAAATGTAGTTGTATTTCGTTCTGTTCAATAGGTAATGGCCCCTATGGAACTTTTAGAACTACTTACCAAAATGACACCGGCCATTCCCTCCACGAAATTATTCTTTGAACTCACTTTCATGTGTGAAAATACTTGTTATTTTGTTTGTTTATTTATTTATTGGCCCTTCATGATAGACGAATCATTACTTTGTTCGATCAAACCACCAACTAAGTTTTGAATTCCCTCTTTTGTATCCTTAAATAAATATATAAAGATTGAAAATGGATCATTTCTTATTTTCTGTCAATAATACTTTCATTTTAGAGCAGCCGATTTGGTTTTGTATGTTGTGGGTGAAAATGTAGGCCACTAAAATTTCTACGTAAAAACCATGCATACATTCTCTCAGTTCGTCTTACTGAAGGGATGCCTTGTTCGGTCGAGGGTGTGATACCTTGGAATGAGATTCATAAACTTTGAATGAGATTCATAGAAAAGAGATGGTAATTGGTCTCAAAAGTGTTTCTTGGTTTACATGTATACAAAAGTTGGAATTAACAAGAAATTCCAATTTTATCCTTCTCTAAACCCTACTCTATACTTTCTACAACCACCCTACTACCTTAGCGCCACCCCCTACTCCTACCACCATTGGCTATGTTTCCCTCCACCACCGCAATAGCTGGTGAAATAAGCAAACTTGTATCCAAAAATCAATGCACACCCAAACCAGAAGCTGAACTGAGGGGAAAAAATTAGAAAAAAGAATAATGATAAAAGATGAAAGAATCTATACCCCTAATCAATTTTATTTCATTCCACGGCTTCCAATTTCAGGGTAACATGGAAGCTAAGCAACAACAATTTCCAATTCATACACAAGATGTGAAATTTAACCAATTCGAATAACCCTGAATTTGGCTGCTCCAGTCACCATCAGTCCCATAACCACCGAAGCTTGTATACAATTATGATTATCGTTTTTTCTTGGTTTAGCGAGGGCGGTACCTGGCAGGCATGCTCTCCAATGTTATTCCATCATAAAAGAAAAATTCAAGGGAAGTGCGTCAGACTTGCCCAGATGCTTGTACACAATTAGCAAACATTATTTTAATCGTATACGTAAATAAGGAAAAAAACTTTGATCAAGAATAAAAAAATCATTTATAACCTTTAGCAAGCTAGAGAAACTCTGGTAAATCTCTGAGCAAACCTTGAGAAGCATCACTTGCCAACCGGTCAGATACTGCATTTGCTTCCTTGTAAATGTGGCTTATCGAAAAACCTCTTCTCTGTATGATCAAGTGTATTTTTACCATCTCAAAGTAGTATTTCCATGGAAAAGCTACTTGCTTAGTCAAGATATCCACTATTCCTTTATTATCTGTATGCACGACCACTTGGTTAACTTCAAGAAATCACATTTCTAAGAATGGAGTTTAGATTGAAGAAGTTCGTTCTGGTGAGAAGTTTAAGGATAGAGATTTAATTGGGAGACGAAGAGAAGTTGCGGGGATGGAGCTCTAAACTTTTGATGGCCGACATTAGAAGGAAGAGGAAGGGCATAAGTAAGTCTATTTACAAGATATTATGCCCTCCGAATTGATGGGAATGAGAGGATTCAATCACACTTTTATGGGCCCGACCCATTCCGAATTTATGAATCATGCAATAAAAATTTTAAAACTTGGAACGACTCACACAAACTGGATTTCACACCACCTAATTGGGCACCCCCTGAATCTCTAGTGTCAATGATCTTACAAATTTACCTACGAGGTGTCTCTTTGATTTCTTTACTGCCAGACTAGCCTATTATCCTCTGCCTTTTTCTTATTTAAGAAAATAAGTGAATGATCACCCTATAATATCAACTTATCTCTTGAATGAATTGATATCATCACACTCCTTCCGTAACATAAAAAATACTCTATCCGTTACGGAAAAATAATTTACTTTTTTGTATTATTTTAGTGCAATGAAATGAACTGTTTTTTTGGGACAGAGTCAGAGAGAGTATTTATATTCTTGTGTCATTTTCTATTCAACATAATTAGCAGCATAATGCAATAGAGAGATCATATACTCTATATGTTAACCGAATCATGGTTATATGTAAAGTCGAATGTGGCAATTTTGTGGTCTTTTTCCACAATAGATAAGTAAGAATTATTAGGTTTATTATTATGGAAGATGTGAATATGCATAAGGGGAGAATTTAATGCAAGGGGGGAGATGAGAATTGGAGAGAAAATGAATAATGTAAAAATAAGGGAGTTCAATAATTTTCATTCAAGAATTCGATAAAATGTTTACAGTTCAGTGAATAGAGTGGTATCCCGGTTAACGGAGTGGAAGAGGTGACTGTTGCAGTATCTCAGTGACCGGGGTATTTTTTTCTTTAAAACAATTTTTTGTCAGATCTGTGGGTAGATTTGTTGACATGTGTAATACAGTTGAACGAGCACGTTATTTCTTTCTTCTTTAATATTTTCTTGGTTAGTTTTAACTATTTCCCCGCTAAAACATTGCGTTTTCAAGTAATTAACTTTTCTAGGCTTTTTGGTTGTTTTACCTTTTTGGGCGTTCAATGTCTTGGTTATTTGGCATTAGGTTATTTGGTCAACAACCTTATAAATAGAGGTAATGTAGTGGTGTGGCTTGGAATTTGGCAATTTACTCTGTGACACTCCTGCTTGGTTAATACTGTATAACTCTTGGTTTTGCCATTTACTCTCCAACTTCATTTTGAGTATCAATCTGATTCAACTTTATCATGGATAATGTGAACAACATTGATGTGAGTAAACAATGTGAACTACACACGAAATAAGGTTATTCAACATTTACTTTGGAGCTTGCCAATGCCCGCCGCTATTGTAAGGGACTTTGGGGCTATATGCAACTCATCTCC